AATATTACGTATTCATTCGACCGGTTATTTTATTTCTCGAAAATTTTAGCTCTTATCTACGGATATTAATTGCGACAACAAATTGTTCCTTAACAAATAAAGCAATTCATTCTCGTTGGAGGTACCTAAATTGCACCAATCGAAACTATAAACTGCGCGCTGGAGAATTGATAAGGTTATCTATGGCTGACTAATTGAAAGCTAATTGCCCAAAGTCGGGCAGTTAGTCGCATCCCGAAATTCGAAGCGTTGCCCAAAGGGAACCAACGTGGAATCGAACGTCCCGCAACTTATTGCCGGCGGGCAGGTTGATAAACGAGCACAGATGCGGCGATTAGCAGATTTTAACCAAGTCGAAAACGTGATTTTTGAAAATTTACGTTTTTTCGCCACAAATCGAATTTTACTGATTTGCCCCCAAATGAAGGGGGTGCATTTATGCAGTTCAAGTGCAGGCCCCCGAACGATGTGTAAATATGTGTGCAGTGTGCATCGGTTTGATGAACGGGTGAAGACCAGACCAAGGAGGGCGCATTCGTACGTGACATCAAGTTCAGACATTCTAAGTTTAACGCAGGGGTGGTTTTGGGAGTTGCCGGCGTGCACGGATGATTGGACCGACCCCAAACTAGCAAACTGTATCGATTAGTCTTCGACGCGCAAGAATTGAATGGGTATTCGTTAGTGGCAATTTAAGGTCACTATTTTCTTCGCAAATATATAGGTACTCAATAGCCAAAAACCAGTAGATGGTTAATTAATTTGATTGGTCCACTTGAAGGGAGACTGTAAAAACATCAAACGAATCAAAAATTCCCCTAAACATGGAAATTCTCTTGCAATCACCCCAAAAAAACGGCTTCTGCTTAAACGAACAATAGAACAAATGAAGAAATCTAAATGTTCTGATTCCGAGTAAATTAATTCAAAGCATGTCTCCACATATGACCTCGCCGCGCTTGTTTTTGGGGATGTCGGATCGTAAAAAAGCAAAATCCCAAAATCTCCGCCCAACATGGAAGCTAAACATTTAATTACGACAACGCTGGCGAGATGCAAGATACCTCACACCCCTTGGACCCTTTTCTCTGTTATCTTTATTCCGTTTCAGAAATTAATAAGCGCAGAACCAGGATAGCAAAGTTGGGCTGCCATCCAACTGGTATTTAGTAAATGAATTAAAAGTCATGGAATATTTAGGGGTTGATGTGGGGGGCGGGTCGGTCAAGCAGAGATAGCTGCTTCGGGACACAGATACAAATTAAGATATTCTAATTGCAATGCCTTCCCCTTTCCCCCACCATTGCAAAATCAGTACAAGTTGATCTACAAGCGGAATCTGCTTGAGATTGATTCTTTTCGTGTCAAAGATGTTCCTTTGCTTTCCAATAAAGGAGGAAACCCTCTAGGAAGATCCTCGGCTTGTGATAAGATGTGATTTAACGCGTTCATATTTAACGCCTTTATCACCACCAAACTATCAGTAACTCCTGACTTTATCAGGCTATTAATCTCGTATTTCTGCATGTATCAATTTGTTACGCAAAGAAACAAATTTTATTGCTTAATTTGTGGCTGGATTTAAACTGGATTATGTTGTTACTACGAAGCAGGATGTTTTGGAGGTTGTGAGCAATCCATGAGCTAATTTTAGTTGTATTATGAAACAATCGAATGATTTATGACCAATGATCATGATCAATCGGAAACGTCAAAGCTTTCGAAAGCGACACACGATTAATTTACAGTCCGCGCACGTAGGGCGCACTGTTTGCCGCCACGCATGAGTCATGCACTCGTAAAATGTAAAATTGCAATGTTTTGCATTCCAGCAGGCCCTGAATAAAACTATTTCAATAACAAATTGAGTTTTCGGTTTGATTTGGTAAATTTAGATTTGTCGATATATTGTAGGTGTATGATGTGTTGATTTGTGTATTTTAGGGTTTTAGGGTTTAGGTCAGTACAAATATTTATACCGCGCACGTTTTTATCAACACCTCTCGAACATGGCCATAACACGAACTGGTGCCCTTTTTCCGCTGGCAAATCGTGCATAAAGTATCGAATGTTGCCGCCGCCGCCCGGTAAAACTGGGCCGTGGCGGTGGCGGCGGCGGTGGCAAGCTACGTGCGACGGCGTCCGGCACGTCGAATCGCGAGCAGTCTTGAACGTGCCGGCCGGAACTGGGTGATAATACGTCGGGGGGGCGGCGGGCGTCTGGTGTATTGGCTACTTGTTGCGGCGCGCCGCGGGGGCGTTGCGATGCGCGATGCGCGGGCCAACCGGTTGCGCCGCCTGCGTCCGCCCACTCACGTAGATGATGGTGGTGTGTATTTGTGTGTGTGTGTGTAGGCGAACGTGCATGCCGATGCGCAGACGGCGCCCCCGCTAAACACAAGACTCTCCCGAAAAACCCTCTTCCGCATTACTGTCGCGTCGGACGTCGCCGAGCACGCACGCAGCGGTTTAACCCCGCGGAAGAAATAAAAAAAAACGCGCGAAATTCAAAATTTTGAAAAAACACAAGTGCTTCAAGTGAATAAACAATGTTGCCGTATCAAGCGGTGGCGATGGACTACGCCGTGTCATCGAGTTTCCAGCGGCAGGCGCCGATGGGGCTGGGGGTCAACATCAATCCGGCCTTCACGCACTCCTGGTTCGTACCGGCGGATCTCTGTGTCCCCTACAAACAGACTCCTCTCCTCGAACCAGGGCATGTTACAACTTATTTATACTTATTTCGCTCACTACACATGCACACGCATTACATAAGCCACACTAGTAGTAGCCATCTTGATTTAGCACCATTCTAAACCACTCACTGACCATCCTCAATATTTTATGTTGATATATTTGCATGATAATTATTTGCATGACCTAAAACCCAACAAAAAGATATAAAAATTTGTGGGGCAATCAAAATCTGATTTTTATGACCGCGTAGTTTACTACCCTCTTTGTGGCAGAGGGTGGTTTAAATTCCATAAGACATATTCACATATGTACTTACTTAGGAGCGTCGCACGTGCTCGAATCGCTACTTTTATTCACGAATTGCGTTTAAAGCGTACCCCCCGTAAAAATGCAATAAAAAGATTACAACAAACAAGAAATCACGACTCGATACCGACCGATAACAATAAAAATAATAAATACATGAACGTGACTTGCAAAAACGCATGTTATGACACGGTTTAATAAAATATTAATATCGGTTCATTGCAACGGAAACAAAAACGAGATTAATACTTCATAGACCAATAAGCAAGCGTGTCACAAGACAATCAATCTATTTTATAACTGGTAAATTGCAACACTGATCTAATTATTTGTTTTTCATGCAAATAATTCACAAAGAACTTACCAGTTGTTCTTGTTGTAAAGGTTGATCTGTCATTCTGCAATCAGAAACTAAAATAAACTAATAAGTTTATGTGATTTTTCTGAGTATGAATGTGCAAACGTGTGAAATGAATCATAAACGCTTATAACCGTAAAACCTCTTAAAGCTCCGGGCGAATTGCAAAAAGGGGAATGTGAAAACACAAAAATGGTAAAAATCTCATGCGGCGGCTCGTGTGCGCGCAATCCGTGATTGAAATAGCCTCTTGGGGGCCCAACGGCGTCCACTCGCGGATGGCGAACAAGATCTATGCGAGAATGCTATAGAAAAAAGGCACTGCAGTCGTGCAACGACAATTGGACTTGTTTTCATTTTATTTTAGTGGCGAGCGAAGGCGTTCTCCCCCAATAAAAGCCAATAATCGCATTATTTCCACTATTCTTAGTGTTCCCTTCCGTGGTTAGGACCCAACGAAAACCTAACTAATGTATGATGAGGGAAACGAAACACTCACACTGGTTAATAATAGAAACTGGACTAGGTTTAGATTTAAACTCAGAATTTTGAATTCCAAGTCAATTCTAAACTTAAACTTGAATTATTGAGTTATCACTTCATAAACAAGTTGACATTTCTCATATCCCAAGAGAATAAAACTTCTTATTCTCCCGAAAATCTTCCATCAAAAGAAAAAAGCTTCTTGAAGTATTTCGGGAGGTTCCTCAATGACCACTATGGTAAAAAGCACTCATCTCCAACCAAAATAAACCAACTTCATGACCTTATAGTGCCTGCGTGCTTCTTTTTCCACCTCCTTGCAATTGAAGTACTTTCCTACTAGAAGCCCAAGTAGTGCTGACTGGACCAGACGAGAATATCGAGACCTCCGGTAGGTTTATGGCTCATGCGGAACGTGCGTTCGGAACGTGTCGCGCTAATGACTGTCAGCTCCCTGGAGACCACAAACGTTCCACCATCCGACATCCAGCCTCACATAGAAAGACTTTCGTCATTTTACCGTAGCATCTTTGACGAATCTCCTTTGACCCGAGAGTAAACTCTACCTGACTTTCCTCTCCTCCTGTTTTCCTGCCTCTAGTATTACTACTAGTTGTATTGGTCGTAAAAATAGAAACGCATTCCCGAAAACATAGAAGGTTCTTATCTGGACACTGTTGTTGACCCTTGGAAATTTTAAAGCCACTTCTTTTGTGTTTCGCTGACTTACGACTTCCACAAACGTCCCGAACCAGACTGGTTCAAAGGTGATTGGATACGTTTTACGTGCCTCGAGATCCCTGGACTTTCCAGAGTCTCTGAAGTCGTCAGGACAATTTAGAAAGGCGTCGTAAACGTGGCTCGTTTTCACCGGCGAGTTTAATTCCTCCCGATCAACTTTTCTCAACCTTCGTCGAGACCTGGATTCCGGAAATAAGCGTTGCGCAAGAAACGCCTAATCATCATCGGATATTTTGGGGTCCGTGTCGTCGCGCCTTTTCGTTTTATCCGTCCGCAGGGACACCTCCCAGTCCTCACACTTTCCGCGCAGAAAGGAAAAAAAATACCAAACCCATAGGGAAATCTTCATTTTCAATAGATACTAACTGACCATATCGTATATTATGTATCTAATAATTTCGTTTATTTGTTACAGTATTTTGGAGTTGCGAAAAGAAAAAAGTCGTGATTCAGCGCGCATCCGTCGCGGAAAAGAAAACTTCGAATTTTACGAGCTGGCAAAAATGCTGCCACTGCCGGCGGCCATCACTTCACAGCTCGACAAGGCGAGCATCATTCGACTGACGATATCGTACCTGAAGTTACGCGACTTTTCCGGTCACGGAGACCCGCCATGGAGTCGAGATGGACCTCATAGTAATAAAAATTTAAAATGTAAGTAGACACAACACTTCAGACGCAACAAAACTAATATTATTAAAAGTCTAGACGCCTATAAATTGCATCATCCCTTGTAGAAAGGGGATAAAGTTCTTTTTTTGAAGTGTTGATGAGACCACAACTACACAACTCTCAACAATTCCTGCAATTCGTCGGCGCAAATCTTATTTTCGTAAATTGCGCCCTCGACAACCGCCCCGCGTGTTAGTCTTCGCTCGCACGTGGTGAGCAATGATATATGATAAAGCGAAGCTACTGACGGGCCGTTATTAAATTATCTAAAAAAAAAGAGGGCAGAGTGACCGCTGCCCGCTACACAGTGCACGGTCAGTCCCCACGGGACGCGCCCCTTCGCAACACTCACACCTACCCTTATATCTAACTTGTAGAAAAAGAAAAAAAGGAGACTTTAAGTGTAGCCAAGTCAAGCATAAGCATAAGTATACCTAAGTGTAGGGATAACCATCATAGACATTCATATGTACAGCTGCTTGGGACTTGTTAAACCCCTATGTGATTAAAAAAAGTAAATATTGACATGCGATGCATTTTATTGGTGCAATTAATTAGTAGCAATTAAATCGTCAATATCATGATACTAAACAACTAGTGTTAAAAATACCGAGGGGTGGATGAAACAAGAGTGTCTAACTGGCTTTGCATAAATAACACAGTTTTGATTGAGGAAACAAAAGTTTGAGTTTAAAATCTACTCGTAGGATCGATGTCAATTCATTAGCGGCGTTGTACAGTGTGCTGGTGCTGTGGGGGCGCTAATTCCGCATAATTATTTCACTTAGTTCACTTTAGACGGCCGCAAACGCGGCGTGCGCTTGTGCAAATTCAACTCGCCGAGTTGAGTTGGGTTTACAATAAGCAGCCGCTGCCTAATTTCATCATTTTCGAGGGGCCTGCGACCGGAATTGGATTTGCGCATTTGCCGGAGAGGGTTCCGTGATTAGATTTACATGTTGTCGTTTTGAGGCACGCTTTGAGGGATGTCAACAGCGAATGTATTTAGAATTTACAATTTACAGTTCAGAAAAGAGACAATCAGTGAGTAGCACGCATAGAATTTTCGAATTTATTTTTTTAACTGGAATTACCGATGAAGTGTCATACAAATAAAATTCCGAAACCGCAATCGTTGATCAACAATCAACAATGCCGTTGGTTGATGCAACGGACGCGCGTCGGACACCCACTGCATAATAATTAATCCTCATCGATTATCATTGACGTTTTAGAACTCTTGAATTCCGAAAACGGAGTTGAAATTCCAAATTTATGCCAAGACTTTCATCAGCTCAAGTTAGGAAACAATACGTTGGTGGAATATATAAAAATATGTACCTACTTGGAAAGTTACATTCTGTGTGAGATTGAGAAACATTGAAGACATTAGCATTTAATGAATAAAAATGTCCCCGAATATCGCGGGAAGTCAAGTAAATCCCATTAGTTTGGGTCTTAGTGTATTCCCTGCTACCCCAGAACCTGCCAATAATGACGGAGATTAGCGATAATCTCTCATTTTCTCCATTTTTCCAACGCTTACAGAGAATTTCAAATAGAACCAATCTTAGTCTATAATATTCTTCTAAATTCTAAGACCAAAAATGTTTATATTGCTTGATTTACGTCCAAAAGTTAATTTATTGGAACAAGTTGGTGAAAACAAATATTTAGCTCTTAGAAATTGCTACACCTACCCCAGGATATACAAAAAAGAAATAGTAGATAAAGTAGGAAGCGAACTAGTTGTAATATATAGTATGTGTTGTAACAAATTGCGTTTAATGTCATCCGTGAAATATGACTCTTCGATGGGGCAGTTTATTACCCCCCAAAGTAGGTATCATACAAGATGTTCCCGAAAAAAACACCAAACACCATTAGATTTCCTCAAATAAAAAAGATTCAGCTATAAATATAGCAGAATGCAATTCCGAATGCATTTTTAATTCAAACGACCGCAAATCGAGATTTACAAACACTCGCACCCCACTCGAAAGAATTATTCGCACATAAAACACGCATAACTAGGTACATAGATACTGAATTGGTTGGTCAGGATGACATGATGAGTAACGAACCACATACTAACCCTACTGTTAGACCATATGCTCTTGAATTCGGCTTGTAGGAAATAATTTATAATAAATAAACATCAGCACAGATTTCGACTCCTACCAATTTTGATTATTTCCTTGTTTGGGTTAGGAATCCCCAAATAAAACCCTTTTATGCACTGAAATTCTGAGTCATTCATTTTTCTTATTTCCAGCAGCCAATCGACGGACAGCTGGTGGAATCTCACTAGACATATTCGAACAACATCAAGGCACCCACATACTACAGGTGAGTTAATTAAATATTACTTTTCTATGAAAAAAGGAACCAAAAACATCAAAAACTTAAAACATTCCAGCGTTGGTCAACAGCCGTTTGAAGGCTTTTAAGGCCTTGTTGTAGAGGCAATTTATTCCGCCATTTTGTTTGCGTGACGTTTGATCCCCGCGCGGGCGTGTGGTATGAAGAATGACCGTCGAAACATGACGGGAATAACTAACTCGTTTACTGACAAGTCCGACAACATCACGGGCACCCTCAGCCGCCAGCCGGAAGAGAGGAGATATTTTTGATAAATGTATTTCTCAAAACATCATCTGTCATTCTTGATATAAGAGAGAAAAAAAAACAACTAAATATTACAGCTTAAACGAGTGTTTTAATCTTTTTTAAATTCAAGTTTTTGATGTTTTTGCATTGACTTGGGTGCAATTTATATTTCTCTTATATTCAAACCTGAAGAATATGAAGTCTTATAAATATTACATGGTGTGTATGTTATTAGCAACTTTTATTGCAGTCGCTGGACGGATTTGCGCTTGCACTCGCCGCCGACGGTCGATTCCTCTACATCTCTGAAACTGTCTCCATCTACTTGGGTCTGTCACAGGTACGTACTCAAATTACCCGCAATTTTTGTTGTTTTAAGTTTAAAAAATCATAAAAATTTCGCTTCATAAAACAAGAGTAAAACGCACGCGAGTACTGCTGTCGGTACCAGTTGTCGGTGTGGTGTTGGCAAAGTTCAGAAACGCCATCCACCCAGCCAGCCCCGGGCACGAGAGCAAAGTCGATGCCAAATGCGCCTCACGTACTCCTGCAGGCGGCGTGCCTGCCATTCATAATGCGACGGCGGCGGCCGGGCCGTAGCACAATCGATAGGGTGTTCGCAACGACGGCGGCGGCGGTTGTTGGGAACATGGCCGACGCGTTCGACCTTCCGGCCTCCGCCGCCGCCGACGCCACGCACGTCCCAACGACCGCCCGTTGCACGTACGCGCTTATCACCTATAGTTTTAAATCTCTCGCGGCGCGCCCACACATACTAATTGTTCCTTGAACAGCAAGGACACTGTCAGTGGTGATCCCCGAATGCGTTTATTTCAATTAAAATTTACCCACATTACATCACATACACACGTGGATTTGATTTTCACTTTGCTATTTCCAGGTGGAAATGACGGGCAGTAGTATTTTCGACTATGTACATCATCAGGACCACAATGAAATGGCTGAACAATTGGGTCTTGGGTTATCACAAGGCGCGGGTATGGCGTCCCCGGGCAGTGGTTCAGAGGAAGGCGGATCAAACTCGGGCACCAACAATCCAGACGGTGAGAAATTAATTGATAATATTCAAAATAACCAGCTATAACCTCAAAAATAACCCCAAATCACAATTTTAAAATGGTTTCTCTTGATTTTTTCTAGTTTCCGACGGACAGCAGCATATTAATGAGTTCTCTTTTCCAGTGTCGACTATAATGTCGCTGGCGAACAACCCTGCCTACAAAGGGCTGGACAGAGCTTTTGTATTCGCATGAAGTCAACGCTGACGAAACGCGGCTGCCATTTTAAATCATCCGGTTATAGGGTATTTATTTTTTATTTCCCCACAATTTAAATTTATTCCTACTAAATTTACCAAATTCATTCCAGGTGGTATTAATGTTGTGTAGATTACGACCTCAGTATACGTTTTCGCACTCCGGAAATCACAACCGCCATTACTAGGAATGGTGGCGTTGGCAATAGCGCTGCCGCCGCCATCAGTGCACGAAATCCGACTGGAGTCTGATATGTTTGTGACACGAATAACGTTTGATTTTCGAATAGCTCACTGTGAACCAAAAGTATCTGAATTGTTGGATTACACAGCCGAAGAGTTAACCGGAAGGAACTTGTACACATTGTGTCATGGCGAAGATGCTAACAAATTACGAAAATGTCATATAGATTGTAAGTTATTAAAAATCATTGGAATTACAAGTTGTGTAAACAATTTTTTATAGTAATCAACAAAGGACAGGTTCTAACGCATTACTTCCGGTTGATGAACAAAAATGGCGGATATACTTGGATGCAAACCTGTGCGACAGTTGTGTGTAATTCGAAAAACGCCGAAGAGCAAAATATTATTTGCGTTAATTATGTGATAAGGTAAGAAATAAATTTTTTTAGTCAAAAATTGTTCTAAAAATTGTTTCCTTAGTGGTCGTGAGTATGAAAACCTAATAATGGATTGCTGCCAAATGGAAGACAACACCCATACGGTGAAACGCGAGGAGGCCAGCAACAACGACCCGGAAAACGGCAGTCCCGATGCGGATCGAGGAGGTACGTGTCCGGTACCCATTCTTTATACCAATCTAAACTAAACTAACACTTATGATGTCCGATACAAAGATGGCCGCAACAGCGGAGGCCCTTCCAACCCCCCACCGGAACCCCCACAACATCCCAATGAAGATAACAACGCTGAAGATGCGGGTGATTCACGCAGTCATCGAGTTGAACATCTCACACGCCTACAAACTCCAACAGAAAACAGGAAGACAATCAACGTGCGCAGGGGGACAAAACGACGCGCACAAACTGAAGTGAATGTCTCCTCTGATGAAGAAGAAGATGTACCCACAGTTCCCACCCAAGGAGGCAATCGTAATGTTGTTCTTAGTCCGGCGTCATCATCCTGCCATTCGAATACTGCTGTGGGACATCTAACACAACCTCCAGAAGCAACTGGTACCGGTACAAGTCCAAAAACAACTCTGAATCATGAAGAAACCAGTACTTCAGTGAAAGACCTTGAGAATGCCATGTCCAAACATTTACCAGCGTGTAAATCACCCACTTCCACACATCAACCTACTGATTTCAGTACGGATGCGTTGTTGAAACAACAACAACGTACAACGATTCAATGGATCGGCGCACATCATCAACAACTTCAACAACAAGCACCCCTACCTGCTTCTGCACTTTTAAGACAACTCTACGCAAATCGGGAGAGTGTAATCAGAGCGAATGTGCATGGCATCTCAACTACGGGTACCCCACGTGGTGCCACAGCCTACCCTTATAGTGAATCACAGGTAGGTCCATTACCAACACCTCCTGGGAGTGAAGGGTCATCATCCTACAGCGAGCACCAATTTTTACTCTCCCAACATCAAAATTACCCTTCGGGATATTCCATGGACTATCATACAGCAATGACGCCGCCATCAAGTGTCTCACCACGAGATAAACACCAACAATTGCATCCATCAACAGTGGCTTTTGATACCCCTGTATATCAGGATGTTTTACGTCACCAGTACCCTGATAGTCCATTACCACTGAAACCACAGGTGTATTCGTACGTGGAACAACCACAGTTTTATCACCACGGCGCAACCAGTGCCGGCTTTCATCTGTACCATCCCAGTAAGAGTACGCCAACAGCGCCAGCTAATTGGTACTCGCCCACATAGTGAGCGCATAGTTGAGGTTAGAGTAAAATATTACAGAGAACTGTACATAACGAATCATAATCATGATGAACGAAATTTTTCAACACAGCTTAGTTAATTCGTCAGGAGGCTATAATTTCTATATGTACTTTAAACCAAAGAGAGTAGATGAGGATATTTTCGTAAATTAATTATTGTGCAACAATATGAAAATGACATCGATGTTAATTTCAACCACAGACGTGCGGAGGACTGATTCTGTTGTGAAATGTTTAAATAAGTCCTCGTTTTGTTATAGCTTCGTACTTAACGCAATCTGCGAAATTTCATATCCTGTTATAGTTTCGATGTAAATACGATTAAATAATGAGCTATGCTATAAGTGATAACTTAAACATGATAAAGAATAAATCTCTAGATGTATACATTTTTGCTAAACAACAAACACCACCGGAGACATTCTTATTATATACATATACAAAAATGGCGAATGTGTAAAAACAGGCGGCCATATTGATTAGTTTGCTGGTTTTGTTTCATACAGGAATACAACGATAACCGATGTACATATTAAACCAATGCTGATATATTGAGATAATGCAATAAAATAACGCTGATTATTTGTGTTCAGATGACAAATTGTACGCTGCATGTTTGTCTATTATGTAATTGAAATCCGCAGGAATTGTTTCGCGAAGAAGGACGTCGGCGTAATGTATTATATTTCATCGGGAGCCATGGCGTTCAGTACAAATTTAGTACCGGCTTATTTCACATGAAGGAATACACATGTATCATATAATTTATGTGCAATATATACTTGATCAAAGTAAGTTTTGTTTTATTTCATAAATTCTATTTCAAATAAAAGCAGTTTACACCTACCTTGAATAGAAGACGAATATAATTGTCTACATTGAAAACATCACTTTACCTGACTGCACTACTACTCACAACTATTTTCCACTGTTTCATGGATGCATCGATTGTCTCAATAAAACCTGTGTTTGTTTACCTTGTTTTCTTTTCTCATTGTATCTAATTCACGCGATGTTTGTCGAATTTCGATCAGCGCAGATTGAATTTTTACTCGTTTTGATGTTTTGAGGTAGGCAATCTGCCGAACAAAGAAATAAAATTTAAATATACAATAAAAACATTGATATAAAGCCTAAAATCATAAAATATGCCTAAATAGTATTTTATAAATTATTTTAGTCTTATTTACGACCATTTTGGCTTTAATATAACTAAATAAACCACGAAGTATAGATTTAAGGAGTCCGAACGTCATGTTAAATTAATGGTCACGATCTAGGGGACCAAATATTCGCCAATAGATTATAGGTATTTTTAAATTTAATTGAATTCAATTAAACATTCATAAACCAGCACGTGTTCACGTGTAATAATAATCACGAAGTATCTAAACACAGGAACGTCATGTAAACAAATTGTCTCAATGTTGCTTTGAACACGAACCAACGTACATCGATTTACTCGCAAACCATGCGCAGCCAGTGGCAGAAAAGAGAACTATTAGCTTTGTATATAATTGTGAACCATAACTACGACGCAAAAGCTTATACCGTTCGGACTCCTTATATCTATACTTCGTGAAACAAACAATTAAAATAAAATAAAACAAAACATGAACCTAACCCTAAAATTTTTTCACACCTAGCTACACCGGTTTTAAAACTTAAGTTTAGTACATATTTGAACAATTCCCAGCGGTTAACTTCAGTGATTTGACTCAAACATCAGCAAAATGTCGTACGAAGACTACAGGTATACTCAACAGACATACTTATACTAAATTTCTGATGGTTTAACTCATAAAACATACGTTTTACTTATTTTTAGTGAACCTGACATGGAATATCAGCCAAGTTGGTCAGAGCTGTTTGAAAACTGTATTTCTCCAACTTTATCCCAAGCCTTCATATTTACTTCACATCTATTGATGTACAATGTTGTCTACACCTTCAATCTACACTTTTGTAAGTTATTTTTCTTCATATTCACATTAAATGGTTAAATATGACTGTGGTGCTTGCAATTTTAGTTTGTACATCAGAGAAAAGATTTCATATGCTCACAACACTCACAGGACTATGTTTTATCTACATGTGTGCTTTTCGGTTCAATGAAGAAGCTTATCATGTCTTACCATTGGTGTATGGGGCTTATATTTTGTTACACACATTTAAAACTTTGAATCTCAATGTTGGATACTGTATTGGGAGTGTTATTGTTCCAGTTTTAATTGCTTAGTAAGTATTTGCTTAAAATATCAATTTATGAGCACAAATAAATTAGAAACATTGTTTTTTTAACATTTTAGTGAGTTTGGATATCAAAATCATGCAGCCTGGCTGAAAATTAAAAGTGTAGTGATGGTGGCAATGATGAAAGTGATCTCGTTAGCGTTTGAAATGAACGATCCAAAGAGCAAACACCAAAATATCCCGTCGATTTTGGAGTATAGTGGGTACATTTGGTGTCCAGGTAATTCAGTTTTAGGTCCTTGGATAAGTTATAAGGATTACGTTGAGCGTTTTCACAAACAACCGAAATTAGTGAGATAAAATCGCATTTTTAATCAAATATTTGCATTAATAAATGTTTTTTAGTCTCTCCAATGGTTAATCAGTATTTTTCAATACACTGTAACAGCTTTACTTTTTGTTGTACTCAGTAATTGTGTTGTTACGTATTTTATCACAGATTCAGTCAATAGGTAAGTTTTTTTGGTGTAATTTGATTGAAACTTGGTAAATTGTTGTGTTTTAGATATGTTTTAAGCTTTAGAGACGCATTAATCTTCCGATTAAGTCATTATTTCATTTCTTATCTCGGTTCTGCCGCGATGGTTGCAGCAGCGTTTAATTCAAATGAAGAAAATAACGGAAAATGGAAGTATACTATTACAAATCCTATAGAAATCGAAGTACCGAGATCGCTTGTAAGTGTCGTGATCAATTGGAACATTCCAACGCACACCTTTTTAAAGAAATGTAAGTTTTCACTATTCACAAAAGTTAACCTCGCATTTTTTGCGATGTCTAACCAATTCTAACCTACGATACTATTCGAATCCCTAGACATCTTTGCTGGTTTCCTTCCTTATGGAAACTTCACCGCAGTGTTAATGACTTACCTCGTGTCTTCGATGTTACACGGCCTCAACATCGAAGTTTCTATGGTTCTGCTCTCCCTCGGATTCTTCTCGTTCGTACAATTCAAGTTCCAAGATGTCGTGGCGTCTTTCATCAATTGTTGCACACGCGTCCGAGCATGTCGCCACTGTCGCCACACCAATAAGTATTACATGCGGCCTATCTTCAACTTCCTATTCATGGCGACGACGGTAGTCTACCTAGCATACACTGGATGTTTAATGACTACTATAAATCATATTGCTAATGCCGATGAAGTTTTTGATTCTGTCGTCGCACGATGGCAAGGCGTAAACTTGTACGGGCATTATTTAGCCCTCGCCAGCGTATTTCTAACTTGTATACTCACATAATTGACGTAATGTTTATACTTATTTATTGATCAAGTAATATCAGTATTATTTTACGCTCTAATGCAAATTTTACTTACAAATATTAAAAGATACTTACTTTAATATTAGCGGGTTAGATACTTTGAAGATTCTTGGCAGCATTTCCGTTAAGGATTGAAATACTTCACTTGATATTCCCTGGAAATATCGTAAATCAAATAATGTAAAGATAAAACAAGTTTTTATGTGGCAATCTTACCTCCGGCAGCATAAACTGCAAATTTTTCAATTCTGAACCACCCCATGATGCCATTTCGATCATGAAACCTTTCACGCATTTAAAAACCAACTCGGCGCGCTTGTCACACCAAGCCACCGTCATTTCATCAGTCATTTCATAATTCAACAACAGTGGAATGGTCAGTGAAGTTACATCATTGGAACAAGCAGTTTTTAGAATATTTCGCAATCCAAGCACAACAGGATGGCGACTGTTCATGTCACTGCCGCGCAGGGTATCATCTACTACAATATGGAAGATAACATGCGCTTGTGACAAATTTGAGTGTTTTGTCGTGTAAAAATCGCCTGTTTGCAGTTGATTGGTGTTTTTACGCACTGATGCTGCATCTGCTGAGTCTTTTATCTGTTGTTGAAGAGTGTTGATCTTTTCTAGTTGATCATCAATGTGTGGAAAGTGGAATTCGGTTGAAGATTGACAAATCTCACGGAAATCTTTAGTTAATCTTGAACCGATTATATTGTCTGTCATTAGGACTATACCGTGTAGATCATTCGAGTAGAGGTTTAGAGCTGTTTGGAGAATTTGCGGGGTTGGCTCAGAACTTAAAAGATACAAAATTTGATTCAAAAATTTTAAGATTTTCTGATGGAATAGATAAAATGTACAATTAATTTCAAGTTAAATATAAAAACATGTGTGTTTTTGTGCTTACCATTCACTATTATTGTTTACAGCACACAAATCCATCACATTCGCAGACAAAATGCGAATATTATGCATTTGTTTCAGCTGGGAACCCAAATGAATAGTAAAACTCTCTTCTAAAATAGGTTGAGAAACATCATTTGAGTAATATGTTGTTGAGGGGCACATTGCTGGTAAAGTTGGAGTGCTATATAAGAAAAAATAAATAATTTAATATTTTCTTCAGAATTGGAGAAAAAATGTCTCAAATTCTTCCCAAAATCATTTATTTTACTTACTTTGGCGTTGGTAATGAACTACTTGCTTGTTTCTCTTCCAACATTTGCATCAGCCACTCTCTGTACTCCCTTCTCTGCACTTCTTTAATAGTATCCAACTCACTAGTCAATTGCACTTGCAGAAAACTCTGAGATTCAAAATGTTTGCTTGCCAGCTCATTAATTTTACTTTCTGTAACATCATCTTCTAATCTCTCTAATGCTTTATTCATCTCCTCAGCTTGTTCATTAGACAATTCAGTAATCTGCCTCTTTTTATCTTCACATAATTTCCTGACTGCATTAGCATAAGTTTGTTCTAAAGTGAGCATTGTTTCCAGTGCTGGTGAATGTACCATTTTATGATATGCAGTGGCAAAAAGTTCTTCATCAGATGCGCATTTTCGCTCGCCATATTCGGCCATTTCTTCACGCATTAAACGCTCCCAATCTTTTATTAAATCTTCATAATCTGTATCAGTTTCCAGAGCATTTGTGATCAAATTTGTGGTGTAGTCATTTTCATAATTGTCGTTTTCTTTACGAATAAACGCTTGTAGTTGACTTATCAAGTCTTAAATATATCAAAGGTGGGAAAATTAGATAAAAATTAGTGTTTTTAATTAGAATTTCTTACCTTTTTCAATGTATCTAGGCAATCCATTGTTGATAATGTGCAAATATGCCAATTCTTTGATGCATCCTTCATAAGGAATAGGAATATACATGTCCACATTGTTGTTAAGTGTTTGAAATTGAAATAATTTCAAGTTTAGATCTTCCATTATCAGTTTTAATATTGTTTACAACTAAAACTCTGATAAAAACTTGGCGAACTTCACTTGGGAGGCGTTTAAAGGTTAATTTAATGATGTTCACAGTATATCAATATCATAACACTGTAATATAGACATTAATTAACAGAGCCTGCAAAATTATATGCTGGATTGAACCTTGGCAGAGCTGAAATATGCGTACACTATTGTTATAACAATATAAATGCAAAATCTGAATTATTTTTAGTCAAAAGGGCATTCCAGCGCCATCTATGAACCATATATCTGTATAATCTACTAGAACAGGTGATTGTTTATTCTTATCATTCGTTATTTGTTACTTTATGATCAGATAATACGTTGATTCAATTTTTAATCTCGAGTTCTCCGAATTAAAGACACAGGGATGCATTTTATTATTTTATCTGATATTAATGCAATTATTTTTGTTACTTCTCCAAAAAATAAACATATTATGATGTATAATTAGTAAATGAAAGTTTTAAACAGCAGAATAATTGCTTTTTATAATAAAAAAGCCAAAATTGGTTTTGTTTGTACAAGAAAACTTTGTTGACGTTTCCATTAGACGTCAACTGCGTCAGCTTTTCGCACCAACGCCCCACTACAATCGCTAATCTTTTACAACAATTTCTACAGAGTTTAAAATGAAAATTCTCAAGTAACCCCTCAAAGTTTTATCTTTACGGTCATAATGTACAAAGTTCATTGATACTTTTTATACCTGCAAGTAGCTTGTTTAACCTCAAATAATTACAAACAAAGAACAAGAACACCAAGCCTTGACTCTGTTCCATAGATTAAAGTTGTTATCTGAAATTTGCTTGTTAGACGATTCGTGCAAGTGACGTGTTCATAACGCAGCATTTCATCCAACAACCGACAAACATAAGGTACTTACATACTATTCAACAGCTGTTTGTTAAGAATACTTAATCATTGTTTACTTGTAGAAAAAAATGGGCCCAAAGACCGGCATGAGAGCACTCATCCTCGTCGGGGGTTACGGCACGCGTTTGCGTCCGTTAACACTAAGCCGGCCTAAACCCCTAGTCGAATTCGCCAACAAACCAATTGTGTTGCATCAGATTGAAGCATTGGTTGAAGCAGGAGTGACTGAAGTTATCCTAGCTGTTTCCTATCATGCTGCTGACATGGAGAAAGAAATGTCTGCACAGGCTGAAAGATTGGGTATTAGCATTGTATTTAGTCATGAAGAGGAACCTCTAGGTACAGCTGGACCAATTGCCCTGGCTAAGAAGTATCTCAGTCAAAGCAAGGAACCATTCTATGTGCTCAATTCCGATATTATCTGTGACTTCCCATTCAAGGAACTAGAACAGTTTCATAGGAGTCATGGTAAAGAGGGTACCATTGTTGTGACAAGAGTAGAAGAACCCTCAAAGTATGGTGTGATTGTTCATAAACCCAACGGACAAATCGAGCGTTTCGTAGAGAAGCCCCAGGAGTTTATTTCGAATAAAATCAATGCAGGGATTTACATTTTGAATCCCAGTATGATTAATCGAATTGAATTACGACCGACTTCCATTGAAAAAGAAGTTTTTCCGGGTATGGCCGATGATGGAGAGCTTTTCGCGTTTGAATTGCATAGTTTCTGGATGGATATTGGACAGCCAAGAGATTTTCTGACAGGAATGTGTATGTATCTAAAATCCCTTAGGATACACTCACCGGAGAAGTTGTATAATGGTCCTGGTGTTGTTGGGAATGTCCTGGTTGATCCCACGGCGAAAATTGGTGCTGATTGTCAAATTGGACCGAATGTTACGATTGGTCCAGGAGCCATACTGGAAGATGGTATGGATCATGTCAAAAATTTGACCGTATTGTATTCTAACCTAAACTACAATCTACTTACATTTTAGGTGTTTGTGTGAAGCGTTGTACAATCTTGAAAGACGCCGTAATTCAATCACACTCGTGGTTGGAGAGTTGCATCGTCGGATGGAGGTCCATGGTTGGAAAATGGGTGCGCATGCAGGGTACCACTGTCCTTGGAGAGAATGTCATTGTCAAGGACGAGATTTACATCAATGGCGGACAAGTGCTGCCACATAAGAACATCGCTGCCTCGGTGCCGGAACCGCAGATTATCATGTGATTTTCTGCTGTTTCATAAATATAATGTAAAAATCTATGCGACTAAAACAGAGGACTGCAAATATATTTATAGGTTAGGAGATAGAAGAAGTATATAAGAGTAATATAAGCAGAATGTTAATTATTTCCATGTCACGCATGTCAAATACGGAATTTAGTGCAATGTGTATGTAATTTGTACTTTTATAAAATCATCCGGAATGATTTTCGACGTAGTTTTACTTGTTTTCTGTCACAGCTTTTATTTTTGAAATATTTGTGTAATAAACTTTATTTTTTTGAGAATTAGATTGTAAAAACTCAAAAACTTGTTCGATTGCATACTGATATGTGTTAATTTTATTGTTTATAACATAAAATATTGTTTAAAGTTTGATTTTACTTCCTTTTGACGCAATGTTTGAAAATCTTGCAAATAATTCAAAATGGCCGCCGAAAAAATTGTACAACCAATCAAAAAATGACATACCTATAAGCGATATCGTTTGTTTATAAAATTTCACTCGTTATCAGACCATTTATCGCTGAATTATGCTAGTTTTTAAACAATTTGCAGCTTTGCTTTTCAAATATTTTGTTATACTCATGCGCACTTTGTTGCCGGCGCGCTAGTGGCGACTATCTGACAACTGTGTGCTCGCACTTTGCCCTCGCCCGTCTTGCTTCTCACGTAGCGAACGTTGGTCAGCTGCACACACCGCCTTCGGCCGCCTTATTCCAAGTCCGCTCGCCGGAGTGTTCATCGGCCGCCCGCCCGTCGAAATTCATCCAGCCGCATTCGCTTAGCCGCCACCAACTCCACACACTTCACATCTGATCGATACGAGCGAAAATGGCCGCGACGACCACAGCGAGAATCTGGACACGGCTAGGTGAGCGAAAAATTATATAATAATTCGCCAAATCGCATTATGCCACCATCGCTTGTTTCTGCTTTCTACCTAGTGCAGTGTATTGTCCTACTAAATCTAATTTTAACATACTTTTCATCATAATTAAAGACTTGGATTTGTTTAAAATGTTCACTTGTTTCAAACAGTTGAAGATCGGTCAATCAGATTGTGCAAAACTATTGTACAAATTGGACTTTTGTTTTAGTAGTGCAAAGTTAGTTGTGTCATATATTCAAATAAATTAATCAATGTGTAATCACTAATCACTTTGTGACATTGGCGACAGTACAAAGTCTGTGATTTTATTAGATGCTAACCTCACTTCCAAGTTTAGAAGTTTCGAGACCTGTTTTTCTCCAGTTTTTAGTTAATTACTCATTGATACAACGAGGTAGCATAATGATTTTTGTTGTAATCGATTCACTATTAAATTATACGTTAAATAATGGAAAAACAATCCTGATAACAGTTAATTATAAAAAGTTATAGTGAAATAAAGTTGATGTTTGTAAATTTCAACAAAATTGTTTATAACTTTTGATAAACAATTGTTATCAACAAGATTTATTTTTAATGTAGTGCGTAATTTAATGCTAAATTTAATAGTGAAAGAATTATTATTGTAACTTGTTTCGTTTTTGAGTTATGATTAAAAAAACCATAACAAAATTAAATTTTTACGCGTTTATGCGCAAAAATCGATTCGGTATTAAATTACGCGTTCTATTCTTACAAATTCGATGTTTAAACTCATTGTGTGAGTTAGTAATCAATTAAAAGCTGAAACCAAACACATTTATGACTAATCCATATAATTTTGAATGTTTTAGGTGTTAAATACAGCCAAGGTGTCCGCTTCAACAGTTATAACACCACTGCCGGTAACCTGCGATTAACTGGCAACACGAAAGTCATCTGCCAAGGCTTCACCGGCAAGCAGGGCACCTTCCACAGCAAGCAGGCGCTGGAATATGGCACCAAGATGGTCGGCGGCGTGTCGCCCGGCAAGGGTGGCAAGACGCACCTTGACCTTCCCGTGTTTAACAGTGTCAAGGAGGTAAAGTCGCACATTCGCACACAATTAACAAAATTAAACGCACACAGCGCCGTCACAACCAATCAGTCAATCAGTAAGTTGGTTTTTGAAGTGGTGTGGACAAGTAGAGAGCTAATAGTGAGCTAAACTGCATTCTAATGCTCATAAATGGACATAGTTTCTTTAAAATAGACATGTATATAATAAAAGTGTGATTTGTTGTGATGGCATGTGAGTAATATTGTTAATTTAGTCTTTAGACTGTGTATTTAGTTTGATTTCTGATGTATTTTATAAAATTTTGTTATTTTTTGTCTTTTAGGCGCGCGCAGCAACAAATTGCGATGCCACCGTAATTTATGTGCCACCACCAGGCGCAGGTGCCGCCATCATCGAAGCTATCGACGCTGAAGTGCCACTGATTGTGTGCATCACTGAAGGCATCCCTCAGCAGGACATGGTGCGCGTCAAGCATAAACTGCTCAGGCAGAACAAGTCACGACTTTTGGGCCCCAATTGTCCTGGTATTATCGCTCCAGAATTAGTACGTACCAAGTTTTACTTCAATTTTATTACCAAATATAAAATCAATTTGTTTTTTGCATATAAACTTGAAAAACTAGTTTTTAAATGCTTTTTTTACCTTGTTTATAGTGTAAAATTGGTATTATGCCCGGTCACATTCATCAGAAAGGTGTCGTTGGTGTAGTATCGCGTTCTGGTACACTTACCTACGAGGCTGTTCACCAAACCACGCAGGTGGGTCTCGGCCAAACGCTGTGCGTTGGCATTGGTGGTGATCCATTCAACGGAACCAATTTCATCGACTGCCTTGATGTGTTCCTCAACGATTCGGAGACCAAGGGCATTATTCTCATCGGAGAGATCGGTGGTAACGCTGAGGAGATGGCTGCTGAGTATTTGATGAAACACAACACCGTGAGTGCATATTTTAGGTTAAATTCAAAATGGCGGATGTAAAAATTAATATTTTGATGATTTTTAGGGACCTAACGCTAAACCTGTTGTTTCCTTCATCGCTGGTCTATCTGCTCCACCTGGCAGACGCATGGGTCACGCTGGTGCCATCATCTCCGGCGGTAAAGGTGGCGCACAAGACAAAATCAACGCTTTGGAGAAAGCCGGAGTTATTGTAACCAAGTCCCCCGCGCAGATGGGCACTGAACTCCTCAAGGAGATGCGTCGCCTCAGCATAGTATAATCCCCCACAGCGTGCTAAACCAATTGTTGAATTTTTAAATTAATGGATGAGATTTATTGATCTAAGTTCAAAAAAACAAGACACGCAGAGTCGCCGCCATTTCTACGTTAAGATGTAGCGTACTCATCGTTAATCATCGTCAATCATGATATTCGATCGATTTTATTTAAAAGTGTAAACCAAAAATGATGTATGTAATGCAAAAAATGTACGTGGAACATGCACCGCCTCATCTCTAGTGTGCATCTTTTATTGTTATCCATTTACCACTACTCTAATTAATATAAATATAGTCTTCGTCTGCTTCTTGAAAGAATTTAACAATGAAATGTGAACAAATATTAATATTCGAAATATACGAACATTGTTAGACGAATAAAACGTGTTGAAAGTAGTTAGTATTTGTTTAAATTATGTCAAAAACATGGCGGATGACAAGATAAACAGGAAATGGTAGTGCTGATATGTATATTTGGTTGCCTATCTTAAATTCAAATTTACAAACCTATAAATAACTGCGACTGTCAACTCCATCTTGTTTATATTCACTGTCGATAAATAAGTATCATACTATTATTTATTTATTACTTCAAAATTATCTAATCTTTTCGGATGAGTATTTATCTATTTAATATTTGCACGCCCTTTGACAAGCATGCGTAGAACCTTTAATTGCTTTACCTGCGCATGCCGAGTTGCCGGGCGGCCATTATTGTTGACTGTCGTTCAGTAGCTTGATGTACTCATCACTACACATCGTACATGTTCAGCGACTAGTCTCGTGTTTATTGTGATGTTCATATTCCCGGCGTGCTAGTCCACTAGTCGCAGCGAAGTTATTTATAAACGAAAGCGTTTTGAAATCTCGCTAGTCGCAGCATCCGCCCGATTGCAACGTGTGAGCTCGCCGCATTGCAACATCAACATGTCCGTGTTGTTGGACGGTCGCGACATCAACGAGCTGCGCGTCGTTGATCTGAAGGCCGAGCTTGAGAAACGTGGCTTGGATAAGAGCGGCGTTAAGCAAGTGCTTCTAGAACGCCTCCAAAAGGTACACAGAAAGAATCATCCTCAAACACTAAATATTAGCTAAAATATTCAATAATTCATATGTTAATTTGTGTCTAGGCTATTCAAGAAACGGAAAGTGAAGCTGATGGAAGAAAACTCCTATAGAAGGTAAAATTAATTATTTATCTATGTAGAAACTGTCTTTACACAGTTTACAGTGGTATTAGTCAAGTTTCAAGGCTTGTAGACTTACATATTATGAATTTAATGGATTTATGCACATCAAGTGCATCTTTAAGCTATTTTTAACATTTTTCTATGTCAAACTCCAGGTTTCTCACATTTAACAAGTTTATTAGCTTCAAAATACAGTCTGGCGACTTTTTATGTATGAATAACATTGCATTGTTTTAGTATTAAGTTACTATGACAACTTCGAACCTCAAAATCAGCAATTTTTCATCATTTTGCCTTGTCAGACTTCTTTACAAGCTTCAATTTTTAGTTATTTCGCATCCAAGCGTGCGTATGCATGTAATTGGTGATTAATTGAACAATTACTGTGTGAATCATTGAAATTAAGCTTAATAATTGTGATTATTTACAGAGGTGAATGAACAATCGCCAAATGGTGCAGAAAAGATGCAAACAGACATGAATACCGATGATTTGGAGCTAGATTCGGCTGAAGAGACTGTTGAGAAGGTAAATATTGTACTAAAAGTTGTTGTAATATTTGTTTTATTTAATTTTTAATAAAATTGCAGAAGAAAATCAAAGAGGAGTCAATCATTGATGATAAATCTGCAGTCAAAGGTATGTTTGCTTATTTTTTGCGGTTATTAGGTGCTAAAATAAGCGTAAGCTGGTTTCCTGTTGAGTTGTTAGTCTATAAGTGCATAAAAATAAACAAAGTGACACATGGAAGTGGAAGCAGAAGCAGCTTTCGACACGCAACTGAAGTTGATTACCTTGCACGACGTAGTTTTTAAGTTTAATGTGTACTAGAAGTGTCCATGTCGGCGTCCGATGATGCTGTGCAGCCGACAGAAGTGTTACCCACGCACAGACACACGACGGTTGCCCAAGTTGCAGCGGTATTAGTGTTCGCGAGGTTGTCCCGATGATTGATGAATGCAAATATTTTGCTTGCTAGATAACGCGACGAAAGAAGAAGACTCACGGGACGCGGACGTGAAGCAACCGGACGACGCCAGCGGTGCTAATGGAAATGGTGAGACCGATGGTGATGTCGACCTGGCTGTAAAGGAAGAGTTGGACAAGTCGCTGGAGTTGTCTCTGCACGACGATCCGACTGGGGCGAAACAAGAGGACGTCAAACCCGAGGAAGACGAGGAGGACATCGATGGCGATGAAGAAATTAAACCGGATGGGGATGCTGTAAAGGACAAGGAGGTGAATGGTCAAGATGAGCAGACTACTACGAATGGCGATGAGAAGAAATCAACAACCAGTACCACAGCATCAACAGCTGGAGTAAAAAAGGATCCGGAGCAAGCTGATAAAAGCAACAGCACGTCGCCGAGGTTGGTTGTTGTACCACGCGAAAATACGAATATCATCAACTCATTCAACGCAGTTGTTGTTTAAACTAGAATTATTACTTTTGATTACTTTTTCAAGGCGTCCTCGGCGTGTTTTCACACTGTATTGATTGTGCGCTCTCTTTTCTAATGCCCTTTTGTAGCAAGATCAAGGAGCGTCTCGTGAACGATCAGAATCGCAACCTGTGGATAACGAACATCTCGCAGACGACGCGCGCGACCGAATTGAAGCAGGCGCTCTCCGAACACGGCAAGGTTGTCGGCGCCAAGGTGGTGATCAACGCGCGGCATCCGGCTGCCTGCTGCTACGGCTACGTGCGCATGGAGACCGTCGCCGACGCCGACAATTGCATCGCCAAATTGAACAACACCGAGCTCAACGGGCAGATAATACGCATTGAAAAGGTTCATACAAAATCACACACAAAACAAATATTCATACATGCACTGTTTCTCACACACGACTTAACTCAAAGAAGAAGAACAAAACATTATGTAATCATATCCTTCTTACCCCCCCGCCGAGTGGAGATCTAAGTTTAAGCATCGTCTTCTTTGTTGAACTTTGTCGATGGTCAGAAGCTGTTTGCGCACAGTGGCCGGAGCGAAATTTCATGACAATGTTTGTGCTTTCGATTAGGTAAGGCCGGATCACCTCAATCCGAACTCCAAGGCGAAGCCGGACACGCCCACGAAGGAGAAACCCTCGCAGAAGACGCCCGTACGTGCCCCGACGCCCACGAAAGAGGAGGCTAAAAAGGAGCGCAAACCAGTGGAGGCCCCCTCGAAAGACGACCGGAAGGATAAATCCAGGACCGAGGATCGGAAATCTACCAGTAGTGCTGCTTCCACAACCAAAACAACCGATAAAGACAAGGAAAAGGAAAAAGATAAAGATAATAAAGAATCTTCGAAGGAACGTAGTCGGGATAAAGAACGCCGTCGTACAAAGAGCAACAGTAAGGATCGTATTCGAAAACGTTCTTTATCCTCTGGTAAACCAGATCACCGCCCACCGCCGAGACATTTCAACGCTCCGCCTCGAAGAGAAGTACCAGCCGTACGTAAAGAGAAAGATATTCTCACATTCGATAAGATAAAAACCGAACGAGAACGTGAAAGGTTGCGCGAACGCGAAAGAGAGATGCGCATGCGTAGACGTGAAGAGTCTGAGCGTGTGAAAGAGATTGAAAGGCGGCAGCGATCCGAAGAGGCGCGCCTGGAACGCGAAAGACAAAAGATCAAAGAGGAACGCGAGAGGTTAGAACGTGAGAGGGCGGAGTTGCTCGCACTCGAACGTGATCGTCAGAAACGCGAACGGGAGAAGATTGAATTGGAGCGTTTGGAGCTGCAACGCGCAAAGCTCCGTATTCAGGAGGAGGAGCGTCGCGCTGTGAAGCGGCCTGCGCCGACTGGTTTCCGCGATCGGGAGGAGCGGTCGTATGAGGAACGCAAACGCCCGGTGGCGGAGAGGCATTTTGACGAGGCGCCGCCTCCGCCTCGGTTTGATGGACCCTCAAGGTAAAAACACCACAAAACAACAAAAAAGGAACCTAAACAACTTATTTCCACAGGATATTTATATAAACTTTAAAAATACTCTTGTAAAATTAAATATTATTAACATTTCAATGATTTTAATGTGAAATTTATTGTTTATAGCATTAAAACACGCGAGACTTCGCCACCGATGAAGAAATTCTCGTCGACATCGACCAGTAAGGACTACAAACGTCTCAGCTATGAAAAGCGTGATTCTTACCCGCCTAAAAGGGATTACGATGAAAGGACACACTCGTCTACGATGTCGAGGAGTTCGGGAAGTGCTCCAGTCCCGAAATACGAGAGTAGTTCAAGTTACACTCGTGATAGAGACATGAGGACCAGCTCAGATCCGAGAGGCTCCGGCGTGCGTAGCTCGAACTCAACGGGGATGAGTGTTTCGTCATCCAAATACAACACATCCGATAGTAAAGTTCGATATAGCGAGCGTGAACGTGACAGAAGTCCGCATTTCAACAGTAGGTCTATCCGGGATGACAGGGAGCGACGTCCAGTGTCTGATGGTAACAAATCCGACATCAGGAGTTCTCGAGAACATAGATATCCCGACCCTAAAGGTTAGTTTTTCACTTATAACCTATAATTTCATAATTACATAATCTAATTTTGTGTATTTTGGGTTGCAGTTGATTCAGTACGCTATGATCGTACATCTTCGTCGTCAAATACAAGTTGGACACAGCATAAAACATTTAATCCAACGAATAGCTCTACAAGTAAGCCGTGGAGTAAAGAAACATGGAGATCTTCGGATGGTACGCCCAGTACGGGCGATAGATGGAGCACGAACACGTCGAGGCCTGGTATTCCATTCTCGAGCAATCCTAGTATGAGTTTAGGTCCGTCCTGCCCGCCGCCGCCTGGTATCAACACGTATGTCAACGATCGGTTTGATTACAAATCAAACATGAGCAACATGCGCAAATATTAAGCTGTAAACAATTTCTTTCGTTGTTATCGTATGTTTATGACGATATTGATTAATTGTAATCATTTAACGTTCCCGGTAGACACACCAATGTGTTACTTTTCATTTACTGACGAATTTTTTATCATGGCGAATGGAGGTTCAATGTAGAGGTATTAATGTTCAGAGTTTAGTTCTTTTCTAAGTTGACCAAAGTTTGATTTGTGTAACTGTGTCATTTACATGTTTATTAAAGTAATAACTGTACTTCTTATGCGGTTTGAAGTGATTTATTGGCGAAATTTAGTAAATTTTCGTTTTATTAAGTACATTAAATTATGTGCATATTGGGTTGCCTATATTATGTTGGAATATGTGGGAGTTTCAATGCTTTTGTGTTGGAAATGCTTAAAAATGATTGTTTTCTGTGTGATTTTATAAGTTTTGTGGTTTAAATATGTTTATTTCGTTGATGTTTTTGTTTGTGTATATGTTATATGTTGTTGGACGGAGTTATGAAGTGATTTCTGGGCTCCTGCAGGAGTGCGGGGGCGTTGAAATCGGGTTTTTCTGGGAATCAGCTGAAGCGGTACGCGCGACACTCGTACGGATCGATGCCGTGAGTCAGTCGTGTTAGCTCGGGCCCGTCCACGGAATTATTGCGGCCCGCCGTCGTGGGTCGTGGAGTGCGCCTGTCCGTCTCGATTCCACCTTGCGCAGCGTGGCAGCCAGCAGCAGTCGATCGCGATCGGTGCTGCTAGCGCCGTGTGACTACAACTAGAGTGAGCCAGGTGCACGGACGCGCGGTGAATTCTCCTCGAAAACACATCACATCCGTGAAACATGGCGCGCCCGCCACCGCCAACATTATATTGCGAGTGCGATAAGTGAGACAGTGAGACGATGCGGTTGTGATATGCACGAGGACGGATGACTAGCAGCAGGCAGCAGCAGCGCCCGCAGTTCTAGCGTGTGATGTGCTGTTATCGCGAAAAGTGCGAGGACACTACGATTCGGTGCGACTGGTGCAGATAACTCTCTTTTTATGCGGAGGATTACCACAAGACGCTGAGCTTAACCATGGCGACTGATAAAATTAAGGTTGCCGTGCGGGTTCGGCCCTTCAATCGACGAGGTAACAACCAAATAACACGTCACGTTATTATTATTATTGTAAAAAAAACCTGTACGTTAAAATACCAGCAGCGATTGGTCATACTTCAATGTTATTCATTGACTGTTGTTGTTGTGATTTCGTCATTCTGATATTTAACAAATCACCGCTTAAAACACGCTTAAATTTACTAAAATTTAGCGAGAAAAAGTGAGATTAATGCGGGAAATGTTAAGAAAGGCAAAGGGCAGCAGTAAACACAAGTGAATCCTGCATGTTGACAAATTCATTGATTTATAGAGCATTCCTCGCGAGGGATAAAAGAATAAAAGGGAAACAAGACGTTTGATTGATGCGTCTTGATTCATCCGCAACTCAATACCATTTTTTTATTTCTCCGCTTTCTTTTGTTTGTTTGCCTGCTACTAAAAAAGAAATCAATCACACAAATTTCCAAAGTCTGATTTGTAATTTTTATTTACTTTTTTTTGTAACACTGAGTAACTGTGCAAAGTGCATATCGCTGGTTAGCGTTCACTTTCAATTGACACTGATTTTCTCAGTTTGCGGTGTGATGTGATTCAATGTCGTTCAACAGACGTTATAAATTGATTTTAATTAACTTACTACATGAATATAATACACATATTGCATGTTATTCAATATAGGCAACCAAATATACTTGTAAATATCTTAAAATGCATTTAAAGTTACCTATGTATTAAATTCGTGTTAAAAGTTGTTTAAATTTGTAGAAAATGCACTTTGCACATGACAATGTGTTGTAACGTGTTTCTATCAATATTTCCATGGATTCTTAACAAATATTGATAATATTTGATGATAACAAATGATTATAGACTATACCCTACCTCTGTAAGCATATTGGGTTTGCCTGAGATTATTTATTTAATGTTATCTGTAAAACATAACATTTTCCAATTTTATTAACTGTAAAATTGTATTTTTTGTCCAGAAAATGAATTGGGGACACCCTGCGTTGTCGAAATGGACAACCTTCAAACCATACTCCATCAACACACGCCCACCATGGAGAAAATTGACCGGTGAGTCATCAAAACCCACATAATATTTTCATTTTCACGCTTTTCTTGTTGTGTTTTTTTTTTCGGTGCCTTTGCTAGTTATAAAATATTGATGAAAGATTTCCTATGTCTATTTGTATAGTCCGGCGCGTTTTGGTTTTAACTTTTCCCAGCGGTGCTCGGTCGGCACTTAGCAAACAAATTAACGACTTCACAAGTCTCTTTGCAACTCGAAATTGTTTCGGCAAACAAAAATCAATGCGCACGCCGGGGAGACTCCTTCATCCTTCCTGGAACCGGACTTATAGCTGCAGATCCCACGTTTCTTGGTATTATCACTCGAGTAGTGGTGATGAAGGTGAATAGTTGGGCCTAAACCGCTGTTAACATAATTTGGTGTTGTCGTAGGCGTCGGTTGTAGTAAATCTAGTCGAATTTCGACATTCATGGCTATAGAATGTGTTTATGTGTCGCTGTGGGGGTGTTCATTATGTAAATTTATAAATAGTTTACTTCAGGGTGTTAAAGCGTGCAAAGGGTGCACCTGAACGTTTTATAACCTCAATATGCGTAAGGGGAAGTATATAGTTGGGGGACTTTAGAAAATGCGAAAATAATAGAGTAAAAGTTTTAGTTTTTTTACGAATAACTCGTGGAATATTTATGCTAGGATTGTGATTCTTCGACGACATGAATATTAAATATTTTATTATTGAAATGTGAAAACATTTTGTTGATCTGATTATTGCAGAAAAAGTTATTAACAATTAAAGTTGGATTTTATAAAAAAATCGACAAAATTCACACAAATTATTACATAACTTTTGTTAAAATAATGTTATGAATAAAATATTTTTACACGTTGATGCAGAATTTAATATTTTAGAAATATATGAAAGAATTTTTCTTTTATCTTTTCTGTTTTTGAGAAAGTAATTAAAAACTAAACTTTTACGTCAACTAAATGCGACGTAACCATATAACGTATTTATGTATAGATTTTCTGTTGTGTTTTTTTGTTAGACAGTTCACGTTAAACAGAATTAAAAATTCAGCAGCCACGGGCAGAATTTTGGGGACGTTAGGGTTTTAAAATTGTCGGGCACCGTCGAAAAATGTGCGGTTTTCGGCGAGGTGAGCTGCGTGTGCATTATTTATGCGATTTGAGTCACCGAAAGTCACAACCGAGGGTTGTTTGCTGTTTCAACTGCTTCACCCTGGATTACGTAAAGGGTGAGTCACGACACTGATACACAAACACCCAAAATACAACACAAACAAAATTTAAATACAATTTTTGCATTTTTTAGATTTTTTTAGCGAAATTTATTCAATTTTCCAGTTTGAATTAAATTAATCATGAATAAACCCCTGAAATGATTGTGATTTCAACCGTGAGTGTGTCATGTGAATCATGTGGAAATAATGTGCGTATGTTAACAACCCTTAAGTGACCTCGTTTAAATTAAGGGTAATTTCAATTAGTCATAGCCAACTTACCCTTCTATATGAAGTATGCAAATTAAATCAGTTAATTTAGTTAGAAATTTTTGTTTTGTAAGTTTTGTGTTGAAAGTTTTTAATTTGCGAGCTCGTATCGCAATCGCATGCCTCACGAATAATAAATGCATTCGATTGTGCAGTGTTGGAACTAATGAAAATTGCCGGAAGTGGAACAAAACGTTCGGCTAAAGGCTGAAAAGTGTTCAAGGAGCGATGAAAAAATTAAGTTGTGCACTGGTGGTTGAACGTGAGCGAGTCGCGTTTTGATCGATTGTATTATGAGGGTAATGACCAAGAAAATTAGTATTTTACGGCTTGTCGTAGTAAATTTGACATGGCAACTGTTGCTTCTTGGCATTTTTTTAACTTTTCAGAGAGTGAAATAGGTCAAAACCGAGATTTTAGGAAAGTTTAGTTAGAAAAGTTTAGATTTTCTGCAAAATTGGGACAAACAAGGGTTGTTTTTAGGAATGTTTAGGATTTGTTGTAATTAAAAATGGGTAAATTTCAAAAAGTCCTGTTTTTCAAGTTTATTTGTGAAATTATTAAAATTTTGCAAAACATCATGAAACATTATTTTATTCCCCTAAAATTTAGGTTGTTATTCGTAATTTTAAGAAAAACTAAAGCTGCGACTAAAATTTTTACATTTTGTGGTCGAAAACTGTTAGAAACTATTTTAATAACCCGTTATAATTTATAAATACCGAACTACGCTTAATATCACGTAGTTTATGATAATATAATCCCAAAAACTCTTTTTCTAAATCTTAAAGTAGTAAAAACCCTAATCTGGTAATTTAGTAACAATATGTCGTGCTGGGCATCAATCCCTGAATTTTACGATCCATTGGATTTAGTTACCGACATTACCTGCATTGCAACTGCCACTAAAGGTGCCGCAGATAATTGCAATCGTATGCCCCGTGCTAAACCCCCACTGAAGTTTAATGAAACGCTTAGGTAGGTTCGAATAGTTTGCAACGTTTGCATAGTTATGGTTTGCATGCGAAAATCGATAACCATAAACGACACGTTGCTCTGCGCCGCGTGTGCCGTGGTAAACGTAAAAGTTAAGCGTTTTAAGGCTTTTACTTTTGTTTAATTCCTGGAAGGTTTTCCGAGCAATTCGCGCTTGCATGTTTAGCTCTATTAAGCGTATAATTAAATTAGCGATGGAAAAATGGAAGAATTACGATGAAAAGAAAAGAATGCAAATTTTACAGATTATATTATAATCAAACGCAACATTATGAACATTTAATGTATAATAATAATAAATATTTAATATATAGTCATGGTAGCTTAATAATAGAGTAAAATGTTTAATTATTTGCTAATTACTCGTGCACTGTGTATGTTAGAGTTATGGTTCTTTGATAAAATCATTTCTAAATAAATTATTTATAGAATTTCGAGAAGATTTTGTTGATTTGATTAGTGCATAAAAAGTTATTAATATTTAAAGTTGGATTTTTTAAAAAATTAAAAATTCCACCCAAATTGTTAAATAACTTTTGTTTAAATTATTCCATAAATAAAACGTAGACGCATATAAATGCAGAATTTAATACTTCATAAATGTGTGAAGAAATTTTTATTATATATATTTCAGTTTGTGAAATAATAATTAAAAACTAAAATATTATAATCAAACGCAACATCATAAAATTAATATTAATATAATAATATTAAATATAAAAATAAACAACGTGATATATCTATTAGCAGCGTTTTAGTTACGCCTTTTTACAGAATTATTAAATATTAATAATTTGAAGAAATTTCAGTATGAATTGTTTCGAATCGAAATGCGATAATTTATGATATTGTAAGCGGAATGTTTGCTCGCGTCGATCGTCGAATAAAACGTTTAGTACACGCGAGTGCGTGTCGTGTATGAATTATGCTTCGTGCATAAATAATTGGAAACGTCGATGGGCTCGAGAGAGATATCGTCGATTGTAAATAAGGCACGCGTGCGGTTATCAGCGGCAGGACGACAGGACGACAGGATTATCGATGGCTGGGATGAGAGACAGGATAATTGCATACGTAGTACCTATACTTTCCATGTTGTATTTGTTTGATTAATATCTACATAATAAACAAATATATAAAACTGCGCATGCGCAACAAATAAACCACGCCTTAAATACACTTGACGCTTAAGTAATAGTGGGCGGAGCAAAATCGTCTAAAAATATCGGAAAACCGTAAAATTACTGATATTTTTAAAAGTATAAACACTTAATTCATCTGATAGTGATAAGAAAATCATGAAATTAGATGTTATCTATTTTACATTATATAATATTAAATATTTACTTTTCGTATGCTCAAATAGTGCAATTTTGAATAAATAAACCGCGACACGTGCTCAATACGATTATCTTTCTACGTGCGTGGGTGGGACACTACAAAACACACTCTCGTTCAATGCGCAAACTGTTATTACACATTTGCTGCCATTAAATGCATACACCATGTGTGCAATGTTCACGATAAACGTTAAAATGCAATCTGAAGAGGACTTTCAATAATTATAACTGCAACTGCACAAAATTACATTTAAACTGTTTCAATTAATATTTATTTTTTAGTTTTTATTGAAAATAATTAATTTGCTCCACCCCTAACTCGCCATTTATTATTTTTATAGGTTAAGTAAGTAGGCGGAGAAAATGTTAGGTTATGTTTATGTGTTTATTGTAGCATGTATAATTTTACGTTTAGTGTAGTATAAAATTAAATGCACTTTTGTTATGCTAGAATTCCAGTCAGTTTCGATAATTTCACGGAAATAATTCATGTGAAACGTTGTTAGCTTCGCAATAAAGCAGAAATATTGCATCGCAATATACTAAGGTACCTAGTAAATCAACATTGGCAGGAAACTTAGTTTTTTTCTTTCTGTCTTTCTGTTTGCACTAGGATATTACGCTACAGTTTCCTTGGATGGTTATTGCGTTAATGTTGTTTCTGCTCGAGCGGCTTTCGAACTTTTTGATATCTTGTGCAATATAATTTACTTCACAATAATAAAAACAGCATCGCGTTGAAATTATAAAACTTTCTAAGTAATTTTATTATTTTTCAATTTGTTTTTGTTGTTTCTTTTTTTACGAAAAGGTTGAATTATTTGTGAATTACTCGTGAATTATTTATCTTGGAGGTATGATTCTTTGATGAAACGATTCTTAAATAAATTGTTTATAGATTTCAGAAGAGATTTTGCTGATCGGATATTTGCATAAAAAGTTATGAACAATTTAAGTTGGATTTTGTAAAAAAAATCGATAAAATTCACATCCACAATTTAAATTTTGTTAAATTAATGTTATGAATAAAATGTTTTTACTCGTTAATGCAGAACTTAATACTTTACAAACATGTGAAGAAATTTTTGTTATATCATTTTTAGTTATTGAAATACGAGTATTAATTAAAAATCACATAGAGTAGAAATTATAGAACTAATTTTATTATTTTTTAATTTATTTTTCTTTTTTGATGTT